CCAAGAAAAAATGAGTAATAGCACTCATGATGGAAGCCCTTTTACTAACCCGATATCAGAAGTGATAATTGTCACTTCTGCTATATTCTATTTATCAAAATTGAGTTAATATGGAGAGGGGATTACATAAGGGCAGGAATGCCAGGAGGCAGGAATCCTTGGTGGCCATTGTAGAGGCTGCCTACCATAGCCTACAGCCCTGCTGCTATGACTACTCTGTTCATACAGCACTGAGGTAGCTGGGAAGACAGGCTGCTTGACATCCATAAGACAAGTCTTCCTATCCATTTGGTTATTAAGTGTCTCCACAGAGGTAGATATTCTTCAGTGAGTATTAACAGGAGACACAAAAATCACTTTATGCTTTATGTACACTCCTGGCTTCTTCTCTAAATTTCTTTTTCTGTGATTGCAAGTTTTGTTTCTTTGAGGCCTTTGATTTCTAAGTCTCTCCTGGGGCTCAGGAGTATTTCTGGTGTTGTCCCTCAAAAAGTGAGTACTTCTCTACCACAGTCAGCATGGGCTGTATGATAGTCCCCTCTTAGGGTTTACCAGAATCTTCGTGCAGTATCCTTACCCAGCAGATACATCTGCATTGTTGGATCTGCTAGGCCATGACAGGGGAGCGTGCACTGTAGCCTAGACTTGATGCAGAGCCCACTCTTGATCTGTGTCCCATTCAAAGTTGGCAGTGTTTTGATTTGCTCAATGAAAGAGTTGGAACAGTATTTCCAAGTACAGTTACTATCCCACTTGTTCAGAAAGTGATTCTGGGGCCCAGATTGAGGATTGGGTAAGTCAGACAGAGAAAGACAGGAAGCCAATGCATAGGTGGGTTATTGAGTTTGCCTTTGCTACCCATTACTGGTGCTTGATTCCATGGGATCATGTGAGGACATTATGGAATGAGTCTCAGAGCTGTCTGTTGCCTGCAGAATGAAAGGGAATCACTGATCCATAGGCTCCTGTTCCCCATTCTCCTGTTTCCTGTCTCATGGATGCACATGGCTTGGGCCTGAAGTAAGGCACTATCATGTTGTGCTCATGCAAAGCCTGAAAGTGACTGGGTGCCACTGCAGGGGCTCCAGTAAGTGGCAGGACTGAAAGAATTTGAAAAGATGTACACGTGGAAGGGAAGGAAGGGGACCTTTCTAGGTCTCTCAGACATCTAGAGGAAATTATCAGAGATATTTCACAAAAATATTCTTTTATCAATGCTATTAATACTTCCTTATTTAAGTAACCTCTCCAGGGGTGTGTTCTCCAGTTGGCTACTTGGTTTTGTTGAATAAAAATAAAATATCACAACAACTGCATATTGGGTCCTGGAGCCCTGCAAGCAGCTTATTGTATACAGGTTGCTTCATAGTTCCAGGAGGATAAAAACATGACCAGTCTAATGTTTTTGTCAAAATTAGAAACTATCTCCATCCCATGCTTGATTTTTATTACACGTACTGTGCATCTACTAGGCACTGGGCATTAAGCTTGATGCTGGGGATACCAAGATGAATGTAATGTGGCCTCTAATCTTGAGCTTAGAGTCTAGTGGGAAAGAATGATGTGAGGGGATGGTAAGAACTGTGAGTTCACAGCCCACTAAGTGTATGGGGAAAACACCTCGCATTTGTAAGGGAGTCTGCAGTGTTCTTTAAAAAAATACAGTTGACCATTGTACAACACAGGTTTGAACTGTGCAGGTCCACTTATATGAGATTTTTTTCAATAACAGTTACACTAAGTATGCCTGCTTCTCCTGCTTCCTCTTCCACCCCCTCCAACTTCTTTCACCTCTAACAACCCATCCTCTTCCTCCTCCTCAGCTTACTCAGTGTGAAGACAACAAGAATGAAGACCTTTATGATAATGCATTTCCACTTAATGAATAGGAAATATATTTGTCTCTCTATCTCTCTCTTTTCTTCTCTTTTGAGACAGAGTCTTGGTTTATCACTCAGGCTGGAGTGCACTGGTGTGATCTCAGCTCACTGTAACCTACGCCTCCCAGGTTCAAGTGATTCTCCTGCCTCAATCTCCTGAGTTAGCTGGGATTACAGGTGCCTGCCACCACACCTAGCTAAATTTTTGTGTTTTTAGTAGAGTTGGGGTTTTATCATGTTGGCCAGGCTGATCTCAAACTCCTGATCCCAAGTGATCTGCCCACCTCAGCCTCCCAAAGTACTGGGATTACAGGTCTGAGCCACTGCTCCCAGCCCCTTATGATTTTCTTAATAGCATTTTTTTTCTCTAGCTTGCTTTATTGTGAGAATACAATATATCCTGTATATAATATGTAAATATGTGTTTATGTTATTGGTAAGGCTTCCAGTCAACAGTAGGCTATTAGTAGCTAGGCTTCTGGGGAGTCAAAAGTTATATGTGATTTTTGACTGCACAGGTAGTTGGCACCTCTAACTACTGTGCTATTCAAGGGTCAACTGTAGTACCTCAACCTTCCAAGACTGGCAATGCAAGAATTGTCACTCAGGGAGGAGATGGCTAGACTTTCCTCTTGTTCCGTCAGATTCACTCAGTGCTGCTAATCTCTCAGATCTCTTCAACCCCAAATCTCAAAGGTGGATAGACTTAACCCTTGTAAAGACCTTTATAAACTAATTCCTATAGTTCACCTGAGGCCAGGCTGGAATATTTAAACAGTATTCATTTAGGTTTAAGGATAACAGAACAAAAGAGTGCTAGACAGTGAGAAATGCAGCTTAGCTAGTTACCATTTCAAATGCTGGAGGGCATCTCTATGCCTAGGTTCTGCAGGCCTCCCTACAGTTAGTAGTCTCCTGTACTGACCTGAAATGACCTTCCGTCAGCCTACCTCCTCAGAGTCCAGACCCAAAGGAGCAAAGACCAGAAGAAGATGGTGTGTGTGGGGAGGTAGGGATTCAGGTTGTCTTAGTAGTGATCTTGCTGCAATGGAAAGTCTATGTGACATATTACTAAATGGAAAACAAAAGGATTTTTCAAATGGCACTTAAATTCAAGAAATATTTATTGAGTACCTGCTGTATGGGAAGCTTTGCTACATGTTGGGATACGGTGGTGAATAAGTCAAAAATGAGTCCTTTTTATAAAAAATTATGAATCAGACATGAGTTCAGCATGATCTCATTAACGGTCATATATATGTTTTTACGTTCTTATGAATGTGAATTCTACCATTCTGTTAGTTTCTTATTTAGGACCTCTTTTCCAAATGACTTACTTATTTAACAAACTTTGTGTCAACAAAAAGAGTCAAACTCTGTAAAACATTTCAAGAAATTTATTCTGACTCAAATATGAGTGACCAATGGCCCATGACATAGCCCCAGGAGATCCTGAAAACATATGCCTAAGATGGCCAGGCTACTGCTTGGTTTTATGCATTCTAGAGAGATGTAAAACATCAATCAATACAGGTAAGGGGTACATTGGTTTGGTCTAGAAAGGCGGGACAAGTGGGGGTCATCCAGGCCATAGGCAGATTCAAAGATTTTCTGATTGGCAATTGGTTGAAAAGGTTATTATCTAAAGACCTGGAATCAATAGAAAGGAATGTTTGGGTTAAAATAAGGGGTTGTGGACACCAGGGTTTTATTCAGATGGAGCATCCATGTAGCAGGCTTCAGAGAGAATAGATTGCAAATATTTCTTATCAGACTTACACAGTCTTTTCTATTGGTCTTAAGGTCTCTTATTAATGACGGTCAGCTATGCTTGAATTCCAAAAGAGAGGAAGGTATAAAGAGGCATGTCTGATTCCTCCTTCCCTTCGTGGCCTGAACTAGTTTTTCAGGTTAACTTTGGAATGCTCTTGACTGAGAGGAGGGTCCATTCAGATAGCCCAGTGGGGTGGGGTGGGGGTTTAGAATTTTATTTTGGTTTACATTCATGTGAGACTTAATAAGTACCAGCACTATCCTAAGCACTTCACAATCATTAGCTCATTTAAGTTTTTCATCATCTACATTTTACAGGTGAAGAAACTGGGGCATAGTGAGGTTAAGTAACTTGTCTAACATTACACAGTTCTTAAGATGCAGAGCTATGATCTGACCGCAGGCAGTCTGGGCCCAGGGTTCATGTTCTTAACCACTACCGTAAATTCTTGAAACCTGAAACAAGTCCTTTTGATCCTTACCTTAAAGGTGGGGCCAAACTCCTTAATCTTAACCCATAGCCTCAAGAATACAATATAGTATGACTGTCCTTAAAAGGGAGATTCTGCCCTGTATTCCTCAGGAGACTCTCTCAGGAAGGGACTGCTAGAGCCCACTGGAGATGTGCCTCATTTTATATATTTTTGAACATGTAAAATAGTCAAATGTTGTTCAGCATCTACCATGCGTCAGACAATCAGGTGTTTTAACTCTTAAACCTATCTGTAAAATGGGCATTATTATTTCCAGCTGTGAGGCTAAACAGCACACATATCAGTGTTGTCCGGCTATTGGAGGGTGGAATCCCAAATGTATGCCGGTTTGCCTAAACAGGAGGCCCAAGCTTTTGTGTGCCACACACATTGTTGTAAGCTAAATATTTAGGATACACTAGAGGTGACTATTTGAAGAAGTCTTATAGTCATTTCCTTGGTAAGGCACATTATCTACAAACCTTCTTGCAGGGATTTGAGTTAAAGGGCAAGGATTTTCTTGACTGCTTGCATGATGGAAGTTTATTTCATTACACATACATCACTTTACCCCATTTGACACCAGATAATGACATCGAAAATACCCTTAATACATTTTTTAGGTCACTCCATCCATTAAGCAGATAACGCCGCAAAGCAACGTCCCGGAGAGATACTTCAGTTTCCCCAAACGCCCAGGGTGTGGAGACTGGGATAGTGTAAGTTGCGCCCGAACTAAAAAGGAGGGCTGTCCGAGAGACAGGAGGGCACGTTCCACGAGGGTTAAGGGGCGGAGGCAGAGGATGGCAAGCGCGGGGCACCACCCTCCGGGGACCCGGCCCCGCGGGGTGTGGCGCGGACGCAGGGCCGCGCAGCCTGCGCATGCGCGCCCGGCCGGCGGTCACGCCCCCATAACCGCCGTGTTGGCGTTGCGTTACACGGTTACCCAGGTTCTCCGCCCCTCCTTCTCGCGGCGCTCGAGGGACCATGGCCGATCCTCGCGTGAGACAGATCAAGATCAAGACCGGCGTTGTGAAGCGGTAAGGAGCCGGGAGCGGCGCCCTGCACCTCCTCTTCGTCGCCTCATGGCGGCCCGCGAGGCCGAGCGGAGCGCAGGCCCGAGGCGGGCTCTTAACTCCAGGCCTCACCGGGGGCTCCGCAGCCGGCTGTGACTGGCAGGGACCCAGCGGGGCGCGCTGACTCCCGAGCCCGCGGGCCTGGCACGCCGCCTCCCGTGCCTCTTCGCTCACTAGCCGCTCGGATTCGCGGAGGGAGTCGGTGGTGGCCCGGTTTCTTGGCGCCCGCGGTGGGGAGGCGGTGGGCCGCGGCGTTGGGGGTGGGGGCGAGAGGGCGGGCCGGGCTCTGATCCGGTGCCTCCTGTGTGCGCGCGCCGCCGTCTCCTTGCTGAACTTGACCCGGTGAGGCGGATCCCACAGGTGCTCTCAAATGGACGTGAAAGCAGGCTCTGAAGTTTAGGGGGATGCCGAGAATCTGGGCCTCGTCAAAAAAGAGACCGTAGTGGAGCCGTGTGTCCTATCATGGCTGGCATGACTGGCAGGCTTTGAGAACTGGGCCCGAACTTCTAGCACACTCAGCAAACTTATGTGGCCTCACTTTCTCCAGTCAGATTCCCCGAAACCCGCCCCAGAGGGCGAGAAATGCTGTTTAAATTACTTGTGAACCAGAAGTATCTGAGACAGGTCTCAATCAATTTAGAAAGTTTATTTTGCCAAGGACGGATGTTCCCATGACAGAACAGCCTCAGTAGATCCTGATGACATGTGCCCAAGGAGGGTGGGGCACAGCTTAGTTTAATACATTTTAGGGAGACCTGAGACATTAGTCAACGTGTAAGGTGTACCTTGGTTCCCTCCAGAAAGGCAGGACAACTGGAAGGGTGGGGGGCTTCCAGGTCATACATAAGAGACGAATGGTTGCATTCTTTTGAGTCTTTGATCAGCCTTTCGCTTAGTACACAATTTACTTGTGAGAGAGGGGTGGAGGAATAGTCACTTATGCCTAAGTCCACCAAGTGAATCTGCGATTTTACTTACACAATAGGACACCGGAAGCAGTCAGATACCCATTTGTCTCATGGGTAGAGGGGTGACTTTGAGTTCTGCCCCTTGTCATATACCTGTGAAGATAAGCTGTCAATTTACATTGCCAGAGTGAAATCCAACAGAATTGTTTTAGGGAAAAGATCTTAATGGTCAGGGAGGTAAGTAGCTTTTTAAAAAATCTTTGTAGCTAATCTTATTCGGGAATAAATGAGAGGCAGGTTTGCCTGATGCAGTTCCCAGCTTGACTTTTCTTTTTCACTTAGTGATTTGGGGGTCCTGAGATTTATTTTTGCTTTCACAAACTCACGGGTAGTTCAGTCCTGTGATTTGCTCTAATTCCTGTAAACCAAAAAAGTATCTGAGACAGGTCTCAATCAGTTGAGAAGTTTATTTTGCCAAGGTTGAGGATATGCCTGTGACAGCCTCAGGAGGTCCTGATGACATGTGGCCAGGTGATCAGGCTACAGCTTGGTTTTATACATTTTAGGGAGACATAAGACATCAATACATGTACGTTGTACATTGCTTCGATCTGGAAAGGCAGAACAACCCAAAGGGGGTTGGTGGGGGGGCCCAAGTTACAGGAGGTTTTCCAATTGGCAATTCGTTGAAAGAGTTTATCTTAAGACGTGGAATCAATACAAGGGAGTGTGTCCGAGTTAAGATAAAGGGGTTGTCGAGATCAAGGTTCTTATTAGGCAGATGATGCTTCCAGGTAGCAGGCTTCAGAGAGAATAGATTATAAATATTTCTCATCAGACTTAAAAAGGTCCCAGACTCTTAGGTAATTTTCCTGGATTAGGAAAAAGACCTGGACAGGGAAGGGGATTCTCTGCAGAGTGTAGATTTTTCCCCAGAAGAGACAGCTTTGCAGGGCCAATTCAAAATATGTAACATATATATTTTAGGGTAAAATGCATGTATTTCTTTCAGATCCTGCTATCTGTCATATGATGCCATACTAGGGTAAGGCTGGAATTTGGTGTCTTATTGCTGCAAAAAGACTTCTCAAGTTCTGTTTTAATGTTAATGCTGGTCAGTTGTTCCTGAATTCCAAAGGGAGAAGTTATGATGAGACTTGTCCGACCCTCTCTTCCCATCATGGCCTGAATTAGTTTTTCAGGTTAACTTTAGAATGCCGTTGGTTGAGAGGAGGGGTCCATTCAGATGGTTGGGGAGCTTAGAATTTTATTTTTAGTTTACATTCCTGACTGCTGGTAGACACTTCAGTGTTCATTAGAACTTTATTGTTGAGACCCAAGAAGAGCAAACTGTTTTTGATGAAGTATTCCAGGAGAAAAGATAAACAGCCTTCTGAAGAAGCAAGTTGTTTTGTGGTAGCACTGTCTACTAAAGAAACCAACTGACTTTTTCCTGTTTGCCCACCTTTCCTTTGTTTATTGATAGTTCCACCAGAGGAAGGACAAGGCAAAAGGGAGAATAAATTCACTTTTAAGATAATGCTTCTGAGTTTTAGCACAACATCCCACTGTACTTCCCTGGAAGCTTTATTGCTAAGGCATAAGGAGACTATGTGAGTAGGAGTTAAATGCACAGCTGTTTCTGAAGTGATACTGCTTGGGTTCAAATCTTTATTCTGCCCTTTATTGTATGTTGTGGAATATATTACATTGTACTATACTTCTTTTACCTTATTTGTAAAATAGAGCAAGTACCCAACTTATGCATTTGTCGCAAGAACTGCCTGCTATGCTGTTTAACACAGTATGTGGCAAATAGCAAGTGGCTAGTAAATGTTAATAATACTGTTTGTATTTCCATTTTACAGATGAGAAACTGAGGTTTATCAATAACAGGTGTCATACGTGATTAGGTTAAAAAAAAAAAAAGAGAAACAGGTTTAATGAAGTTAAAAAAAGAAAACTTTCCTAAAGTCACACTGCTAGTTAGTAGCAATGCAAGGAAAAGGACTAAGGTTTTGAGTCTACAACTTTCTCCTTTAAGCTACAGTGCTCCCATAAAGAGTATTTTAAAAAATTTGTAATAGGAAGAGAATTTAGATGTATACTTGAAAATATAAATAATCCACACTATCCCTCAGCCCAGGGTTCTCTTGTTCACTTTTACCAGACTTCCTTGGGTTATGCCATTTTAGTCACTATATTTGGCAAAACTATCAGCGTATGTTGCAGAGAATGCTGTAGAGCGAATGAGAAATGACTTCTAATGATAGTTTCCCATTCATTTACTTATTTGACCTTGACATTTCTTGTTCTGATGATCTATACTGGTTTATAAGTTACTTAGTTCAAGTAGTTATATGCTTACAATACATATTCTAGAGAAAATACTCATTGAGATTATAAACTAAGTTTTTGACGTAAGTTCTCAAGTGCTTATATAAACTGCTTAGAAATAAATTTATCATTTAATGAATTCTGTTCATAATTTACTATTATCTCAAATTGTTTGTAAATGAATGGAAATGCCTCCCATACATTTTTTTTTCCCATTTATTTATTTTATTGCATTTTAGGTTTTGGTCTCCCATACATTTTTAAATGACTTTTCTGTTGACATTTTGGGGTATAGCTTCCCCCTTATATATTAAAATGCAATTTAAAGAAACCCCTAAACTTCCTGTTTTAGCTGTTTATTACTTACATTTGTCTTGGTATATCACCATCTAACTTCATAAATATTGCCCCCTCGTTTCTTATTTTCACCTGAAAGTTATTTTACTATGACTGTTTCCATCTTCTGCCTTAGTATCCAGTTTTTATTTTTTATTTTATTATTTATTTATTTTATTTTACTTTAAGTTCTGGGATACAACATGCAGGTTTGTTATGTAGGTATACATGTGCCATGGTGGTTTACTACACCTATCGACTCATCATCTAGGTTTTAAGCCCTGCATCCTATTTTTAAAAATCTACATTTTACCTCAGCAAAGAAAAAAATTGATGAGGCAGCAGTGGCAACATATTAATAATTGTTGGGGCTGAATGATCATGACACTTCATTATATTCTTCTGTACATAAGTTTAACATTTTTCATGATAAAAGGGTTTAAAAGGTATGCTTTTTTCCTCCTGTCTCCAAAATTAGTTTCAAATATTTCTTAATTTCATGATTCAGACATGTTCTTGGTTTTGTGAAAGGGATTCTGTTCATTTTTTTTTTTAAACCAATAGTTTTAAAAAGCTATTCTTGACACAGTTTTAAATCTGTTCTTGATACTCTTTTTCTGGTTAGATGCTCATTTTCCTAGAGCCTCATTTATCTTTGGAAGTCACAGCCTTTATTTGGAAGAAGAGGTTTAAAGTCATTGTTCATGCCCCCAGTTATTTCCGTTTTCCCTCTAGAAATTGAGAGCAACTAGAAATTATATTCCAGGTATTTGTCCTAGAGTTCAGTATGGGTAGGCTATACTAGGAAGGGTGGATTAATTTAGTTTCTAATTAGATCTGTTTGAACACTTCAGGTAACTCAAAAGTTTCTGATAGTGGGTCTTACAAAGAAATGCGGACGGTTGGGTTGAATATTAGGGGAATATGGAGACAGGCAATAAGTAGATGATGGTATTTGATTGGCATCAAGGAGACCCAGCCATGAGTGGAAGATGGCTATTTCACATGTTGGCAAAATGGCAAAGGTGACCTAATGGATAGCAGCCCACATTATTAGAAAGTAGAAACAAGTTTCAGGGGCAGTAATTTTTAGGCCCTAGGAAAATAGGCAGCAGGTTTACAGTGAGTATCCTGTTTCTAGAGAAACTTTGTTACTTTGTACAGTAAAAGACAAAGCATTTGATATCTGGGAAGTGAGTTTCAAGGGAGAGAGATTAGATTAGTAGGAATAAAAAAAGTCTAGATATTAGGAATGACTTAGAAGGTAGGAGTTGGACAGAATGAGGCTGACTTGGTCCTAAGCCTCCAACTCTGAGGGCTCCTTAAATGTCTTCCTCCCAGCAATAAGATTTTATTAGTATTATTGTTATTTTTAATTGACAC